GGTTGTTAAAAAGTTAGTAATGTTGAAGATGAAGGAAACCTCGTCGGTACGGGTCGCAGATTGGAAACTAGTCAGACACTTAAAAAATTATAAAAAATAGTTGTGCGCGTGTTTACTGGAAATACTCGTTTTATTCTACGGCTAGCCGTAGAAAGCATATAGTCGGAAACAACTAGATGTAATCACTAAATAGATAAAAAGCTTATGCCTTAGACCTTATACTTCCACTATTCTTAACTTTTTTCTTTTCTTTAATGTTACTGACTTATGTTGTAGTATAGTTTAAAATTATTGCTCGTCGATACTGAATCTAATAAACAAGTCATCTGATAATAGAAGACTTGACTGTAGATGATATTATTAACTTAAAGACTTCTTAGGAATCTGCATTAATGACGAACGTTAGTTAAACAATAATAATTAATTATCGGAGAAATTGAGATAAAACATCTTACGTAATATTTTTACGAGTAATTTATTTATCTTTTAATGTATTCGTGAGATAAATTACAGCTTAAAACATAAATAAAGGCTCTCTGAACAAAAGTCTAAGGTTCAATTCATGGATTGACTGCTTTAATTCACTCCGTGAAGTCCCTTCAACAGAAAAGTAAAAGAGTGAAAGAACCAGGTCCTTCAAATATGGACATTTTCGTTCGTTATTTGAATATCGACCCCGTGTTCAGCTGCACTATTGATATCTGTCAATCACGTCTTGCAGATGCAAATCCGAAATTTAAATCCTTTCGATGCATCTCCAACGAACTCTGATTTTTGATCTCGGAACGCAAACGGTTCAAAATCGACCGCCACGGCACGCGCTTGTTAAATTCAAATATGCTAAAGAGACGTTTCGATTTATAACAGAGTATAATTGTCTCTGTCTATGGCCGATTGAAATGCAGCAACGGGATGGGGGCTGATTATTTTACGTCCGCGCGGTGCATTGGCGGAGAGTTGACGTTCCAGAACCGGCGTGGAAGCTTTGTTCCTGCAAATAGAAGCACCACGATGGATTGATTTATTTCAAATTCACGTTTTACCCTTATGCCTCCTTCACAAATCAATCTCTGAAGTAAGAGTTTTGTCGACTTCCTGTCTAGTCGAAAGCTTTTGGTGGTCCTGCACATATCAATGTTAGCGCAATATATGAATGAATGAATGAATAACTCAGTTGAAAAAATATTGATTATCAACCTTCAATCCTATAAAATTAATACACATTTTTAATATTAAGTTTGTTTTTGGAAAACGAACAAAAAAAAAGAAAAATAAAAAAAACAATTTTCGGTACCGGGAATCGAACCCGAGCCTCCTGGGTGAGAGCCAGGTATCCTAGCCACTAGACCATACCGGAGTTCGGCTAATGCATCCAAATTATCGGACAGATTGCTATGAACAATTACGTACTAATAAACTAGTACACAAGTGAAATAGTTATTTCTTTCCCTCGCACGATTATTTCGCTTTCCTTTTTGGTTTTTATCAAAGAGCTAATCGCATGTCCGTGATAGTTCAGTGTCCGGACGCTCGCTTTTGATTAAACATACACGAGCAACCCGAGTTCGATCCCTAGTGCCGGCAACAAAGAAATTGTTAATTTTAAGTGCTGTACGTGATAAACGTAGCCAACGGTGAAGGAAAACATCGTGAGGAGACCTGCACATTTACGGAATAATAACAAAAAATATTTCGAAAAGGCGAAAGGAGGCCTTTGCCCAACAGTGGGACATGTATAGGCTGTTACTTTTTTTTTTTACTTAGAACCCTACCTATACATATTCCTCTACTGGGTAAAGTTCTACTCTGTACGGAGGTTATCAGGGCATAGTCCACCACGCGGCCCCACTGCGGATTGGCCGACTTCACATATCTTCGAATTTTTTTTTGTTATTATCTCGAAAATATGCAGGTTTCCTCACGATGTTTTCCTTCACCGCGGAGCACGTGATCCGCCACCGGGGATCGAACTCAGGTTCCTCGAGTATATAGAATTAAAGGCGAGCGCCCGGACACTGAGCTATCACGGCTCTCGGGGGTTCTATTATTTTTAAATTGTATCAAAAAAAAATCAAAATTATTTATTCATCGACATAAGAAACTTACATTTCATTTATCGACAGTCATTTTTTTTTTTAAATCTACCACCGTTTCGTAATGAGGTTCCTCTAGCGGAGAAGAAACAGGCGAAAGAAACTCCGTAGGTATCCTCTTTTTTGTCATTCATTTTTTTTCTTAACAAAAAATTAAAATATTATAGAGCTGATTTTTTTTCCTTTTAGAAATAGCTTGGGAGCGATCAACTCATTCCCAGGGGTAATTGTCATTAATGTATTCATTTGTATTATAATAACCCTTTTTATAAAGTTTCTTTAATAAATTTCTTAAACCTGTTAATAGGCAGGTTTTGCGCATTTACTAGGATTTTGTTGTAAAAGCGTATACACCGCCCCATGAACGAGTTACTTAATCTATGTAGTCTAGTAACTGGCATTACAAGCTTGTGTTCGTTCCTAGTGTTCACATTATGTATATCAGTATTCTTATCAAAATTATTAATATTTTTACGCACATACATAACATTTTCATATATATATTGAGAGGCTAAGGTTAATATGTAGCATTAACACGGGCAATTATATAAATTGGTACTACATACGAAGCGTTTTCGTCGTATCTGGATGAGGCGTGGAGGCTCACAGTCTTATTTCAACTCTAAAGCTTGTTGAGCAGTCATTCGTTAGTCGCAAACATGACCCGCCTAAGATCGTACTTATGCAGACTCTGTGTTCTACGTATTTCTACTCTTACTTATGTGAAAAGGTGGCAAGTACTTCTGCATTTCGTTCTGGTGAGTGAGGTAACCACAGCCCATTTCATTAAAATGTGGCAACGCATCTGATCCCTACGGGGGTTGCAAATATACATGGGTGGCAGTTGTCACTTGCCACCTCCAGCTAGCTAGAATTGGTTTAATTAGATTGCAATTCTATAGACTTCTATCTTTGCTGCTTTTTATATCGTACGTTCTATCTCATCGCGTTCACTTACATACGTCGTATAATGTAGAGGTGGACAATTTTTAAACGCCGCGCAGTATGGACGTGCATCGTCCATTTTTAAACATCATTGCAGTCCACCTTATAAATCTTTAATATCGTCGACGGGCGTAAAAAGTACAACGCGCGCACGCGTCCGCGCGCGATCATTTCTACGTCTCCAACCTGTCAATTAGACGTCGTCAAACGAATCTATCGCGGACGACGGCATTCCGCGTATGTGAATTTCAAATCGCTCCCCCGTCTCGTAATACGCGACTCATTATATGGTAAGCAGGGTCATTAGCATGTCCTGCGGCACCGCTGTCGCCTGTCAATCAACGTCAGCCGCCCGTCAGGCGGGGCGGTAACTAACGCGCGTTCGGACGCAGCGATCGGTAAACGCGACCGAGCGTTTGTGTTTTACTCCCACAAGTGCTTTTTTATGTGAGAGGAGGTGGAGCGGGCGGTTCACCTGATGCTAAGTGATATCCGCCGCCTATGGACATTTGCAACATCCATAGGTTTGCAGATGCGTTGCCATCTTTTAATTAATTGGGCCCGGGATATAGCACTCACCACGCGAAATACAGTAGTATATAACACTTCCTCTTCGCCGGTTTTCTTTCAGGTTGTGGTATTTCCCCAGACGGACTTCCCCATTCGTGCAATATCGAACTGTTGCGTGGCCCTACCTCAGTCAAAAATTTCGTGATATCGTTGTGATGGCGTTTGTTTTACAACGTATTGTCTAAACTTTTCCAGTGCCCTCGGAATTGTTACCATCAACGTTCTCCGATTTGAAATGATTTGCGCAAGCTTACTATGAATTAAACCTAGGTCTACGTTATGTTAATAACATCCCAGTATTTTGCTTGCGATGCGGTCGTCCGGCGTGAAAATAACCGCCCGTTTGTCTGTCGCCTTCCGACATTCCCCGACGTTTGACGATCGTATCCCAATATTTATCCCGGGATCGGGACTTTTGTGTGCCCTTAAACGGCGGCTGGAATGAATAGCCTTTGTTGATGGGAGACAATAAGCCTTTTTTCCTTAGCCGCTCTGTGTTCTTGAAAAGGTATTAATTATCATAACGCAGGTGAGTAATGGGGTTAACTTACAATGTAACATGAGGCTCCTTATTTAATGGAGCTTTTTATTTATATAACGTTGTATAGAAATGGTATCCTTGTATAGTCTGTTTTTGATCATTAGTTTAGTGTGTGAGTATTACATCTTACCTGTAATATTTTACTGCAATTCCCATTTTATACAAAAACCCCAGTAAATAATTTTTTTTGTGAGAAAAGTTGACAGATGAATCACCTGCTCGAATGCAAGTGGTTCAAATGTTAAGTGATTACCACCACCCATGGACATCTGCAACACCAGAGTGAATTTGTAGATGTTTAGCTGACCTTTTCAAAAGTGAGCCCTGGTTACCACACTCAACAGATGAAACGCGAAGGTATTGTATTGTATACTGGTTCACTTCACGCCGATCTTCTGTGAGGCCGTGGTACCAAACATAGCCCGCCTATTCGTGCTACAGAAAGAACGAGCTATTTCTTGACCCTACCATCGGAAATTATCAATGATATTATACGAGTATTATTTACCATGAAAACATGTTTCCCTCCGTTATTCTATTGTTTTCTTCTTTTCTTTGTTGCTTCTTCTTTTGAATCCCATCTAAATGAACAGGTTTGTATCAATAGTGACAATGTTATATTTAATCCTTCGTCTACAATAAATTTAGAATAATACTGTCACAGAAATAGATAAGTAGAAATGAAGAGAAATAACCAATGATTGGTGAGAACGTTAAACGGAGAAACTTAATCAGTAAAATGGTAGTTGGCTGTGGAAACTTGCACTGGTAGTTAATCGACAGATGCCTTTAACGAGTAGTTTATAAACAAACGTCGGGCATCGATCCCGCTACGGTAAACGACGGAGTTAGAGCGCCGTAGAAGGCGTGAACGGCCATCGGTACGCTGTGGACGGATGTCTGCTCAGCCGGCTTTTTGCCGTCAGCCATACCGATTCGTCGGGCGTCGAATCGGTATGCGGGAGTCGCGGTGCGCGCGGATTTGAATGCCGCCTCGCTTTGCTTCTGCGAAGGGGCCGCGGCGACTTGGGTGGGCGGCGCACGGACTCACTGCACAGTCGCCGCCCTGAATGATTAACACTTCGTTCCCGAAATTCATTTTTATAGTGCTAATCTCTGCACGTAAGTTAACATTAAAATTTGTAGAAAAAGTACGAAAAGTTTGTCGCCGCTGTGGGAATCGAACCCACGTCTTCGGCATTCGCAGCCTGATGCTTTAGCCACTAAGCTAAACGGCTGATTGCCGCACCGACGAAAATCTTAACGTCTTTTATCTACATTGTTTTTTTTTTTTAGTATTTGAAACAATTCATCCATTTTTATGCCCTTTCCAGCATATCTTAGCCAAAATAAAGGTTAAAGTTACTTAATTTTAACGATATGAACTGTGACATTGTCTCTCTTAGATGGGTATACTCGTATACCGACTTAGTATTTTTTTAATATTTATTCGGTTGAATGAAACGATATATGTTAATAAACTGATAGGTAACGTTCGTTAGGTACACATTCTTATAATATATTAAGGAGTCTAGTCATTAAAGTCTACGAGATAACTCCCATTGTGGTGGGTGATTTTTAAATTGGAAACAACTTTAAATATTCACTTTTAATAAAGAAGCAGTGAAATACTGGCAAGGGCTTAAAAAGTCTTATCGCAGAACAAATACCGGCAAGCATTATATGGTTTTTAACAATCCATTTTCCCGGAAACATGTTTCAAGTGCACGTACCGACGATTCCTATTACGAAACCAATTTTCGAACGCATTGAATCCCTAATCTATATTAGTTGGCAAAGGATAATTCGGAATTAAGTTTAGCGTGAAGCGCCCATTGTGATTTCGACAATGATTTCGCTCATTGAGTAACTCATTTCGTGAATTATAAGCTCACCGAGCACCAAGGGGACGGCGAAACTCGCTAATCTCCCCAAGACTACAATAGTTCGATTTACGCTAAACTCTATTGTCGGGGCCAACAAAGATCTTGTCAGCTCTAATCTGCGAGAGATCTCTCCGTGGTCGTGGAACGGTAGCATTGCGATTCTGCCGCAAAAAACGTGAAATAATTATCTGCGGGTCGCTCAGGGCTCTCGACGCGACCGGCTTTGTGTCCATCGGCCATTATGCTGTCAAAATACATGGTGATTTGGTTATTATTGTTGTGTTTGCGAGCGCACTTAACGCCCCTTTTGTTCCCGCTTTCTTAGAACGAGGCATGTGTACGGCACAGGCGGGCGTTCCGTGAAAACGGACATGTGAATGGAATAACAATCCGCTGGGAAGCAGAAAAAAGTGCGATATAATCCGGAGTTTTCTTCTCGAACTTATCTCCGGTTAATCCCTACAGTCTGACTATTGGCTGAGCTCTCGGTTTGTGCACTGAAGTCGTAGACTTCCATTCCGTAGACGAAGACCATTTTTTCATTACTCACGTGTCAAAACCGTTGTAACATTTACCCAGTGAGTTACGAAGTCGCTTAATGAACTCGAGGAAGAGTAGACAACTTATGTCTAACCCTGTGGGATTAAACGAGCTGATTCACGGATTGGCAATTCCCAGTGGGATAAGAGCTCCGTCTAAAAGAGTGTGTTACGATGCGTCTGTTCCGTCCTTTGAGCTTAATAACATTACCCCGAGACGTCACGTCGCATTACTCGGTCGACTGTCACCGGCGAATTACGCCATCGGAACGCATCAGCCCGCGCGGCTGGGCCCCGCTTTTTGTCACGTCGTCTGATGTTTATTCAAATTGTCGCATCACAGCGCCCCCGGGCTGCCGTGCCAAATGAATTTTTCATGCGCACAGCGCCCGCGGCGGAGATCCGGCTCCACTCCGTTGTACGTATAGCCCTCGAGGTGTCAAACGTGCTCGTTAGGCCCGCGATCGATGCCTTTAAGTCTGCCGCGGTATGCTGACGTGTCAAGAAACGCAAGGAAAGTCAAAAAAAGAAATTATTCGAGAGCGGAATTAGCAGAGAGCAAACTGTATCGGCTAAGAGCTTAGCTCTTTCGCATCACTGGCTACCTATTTCGAGATTTTTTCGTTATTAAAAAATGCCATTTTCAACTCTTTTTATGTAGGCAGATATAACAACTTTATCTCGTGTTTATAGTAAATGTTTCCGGTATAAAATGTATTACAATATATTATTTTAAAATCCATTTAATTTTAGTTATTGTATTATAATTACGATTTAATATGCGATGCCTTTGAGTTCCAAGATCCTAGAATATACAAGAATACTTGAGAATATTCCCCCTGTTATATATGAGAACAAATACTACTAAAATTATAGAGTTTTATCTAAAACCTAGCTCAGATTATTTATCATCTCTGACTCTGCTCAGATTTCAAAACCAAAAAGCTTACAGCTTGTGAACATTTACAAATAATCTCAATGATTAAATTAATTTAGATAGATCTTGCATTCTGGCGAAACGACGATGATAAGTGGTACTATTAGATTAAGGAAAATTAAACTTTCATATATCAGTAGAAAAAATACTGCAGCTACCATCGGCTTCAGATCCTCTAGTATAACAAACTAAACTGAGACCAGAGCGACCATTCGACACCCTCTATAAGACTCAATGATACATTCAAAACTTTCTGCATGCGTCGAACTAATATTTTTCCGTTTGAAAGTCAAAATGAGACACGATAAAAGTAAGTTACAATAAAGCATGGAATTCATTTAAAAACAAAAAAAACCTTTATTATATTCCAAGAACATGTCAATGACAATAAATTATGACTACGATGATTCGAGCAATTGTAAAAAGTATATCTCCGAAGCCGAGCGTAATAAAATGAATTAACCCATGGAATGTTTCCTCGAAGCAATCTAATCGTTATTGTTTTACGGTTGTTTCAAACGCCCCCCGGCCGTAGTCCTTATCACATGATAAGTCACCGCAATAAAATGTGTGCCATCGCCGACGCTGATGCCGGCCGCTGTGCACTATTTGCCGGGCCTTGGTGATACGTTGATCCGTCGTAAATCACTCCGCCGAAACAACTCTTCCACGTCCCGTCTCGCAACGTCTGCACCGCGTGCCTTTTTAGCTCTCCGTCAAACACGATCCATTACTCCGACGCGAACGATCAATTCAGCGACCACTGGCTCTTTTCCATCAACACCGCTATTAGTCTCTGCTACACGAGCGCCGATGAAAGACGTTTCACGAATTGCTTTCACGGCTACACCGGGCGCGGCCTTGTCGCCGGTAATGGATTCACACAGCTATAAATTTCGACTTGTTGACACGTAACAGACAATATTTGTTTATTATTTCTCGGCAAACGGACCTGTCACTGAATAAATTTGGTCTCGCTTTATTTAGATAACGATATTTAATTAGTGTAATGCGATTAACATATTTGCTCAACTCCAGCGGATGATGTTTGAGGAGTATAACAGCCGATGTTGCATTTGTTTGTGGTGATAAAGATGTTTTCGCTGAAGGCAAACAAGGAACCCGTTCCACCGTGATACCGCAATTGTCTCCTTCCGCAATAGAATTCGTAACGTTATCCTTTATTGTCACCGGGCGTGGGTAATAAAATAAAAGTAATGCCATGCTTCAGGGTCAACGTTTCATTCCTTATCAGTGGCTGGTAAAACAAGGACTGCGTCATTTTACACACAAATGTTCGCCGAGCACGCGTAAATCTTATTTTTTTAAGTGAAACTTCTTTACGCACGCTTGACGTTGGGGAGTAAGCTGGTGAACGCGTTACGAAAAGTTTGATCGGCGTTACTTAAAGATTAAGTGATTTCCTGATTATTTCGTAATTTCATTTGGTTTTGAGAAATTTATAAATTAATGTTCTACGTTTAAAGTGAATAAAACTGTAAACTCATACAGATGGAGATACAGATTACATATTGATGGAGATAAAGAAGTTTTACTTTAGTCGTGTAGTAAAGCACATTCGTTTTTTCCTTGTTTTTCCTAACTCCATTTGTGCTTATTTTATACTCTTAGGATTTTCAGTCACATATTAATTTAAAGCACGTCTCAATTTTAAGGACGTCTCGGACTTATAATATCTGTTTCAAGCGGTTGTTAGTAAAAATTCTCGAGACTTTTTTGTACCCACAGTGAAATGAGAGACGTGTTAAGTGTGAAAGAGCTACTAGGGACATTGATGCATTGAATACCATTGGCACGAATTATTCATTGATGTAATCGTCGACGCCCCCACACGAACCACTCAGGCCTAATGTAAACTACCCCCGGCGTAAATATGGCCCTTTTATATCTCTTTAACAATTTCGTAAATTCGGTCCAACGCATCGTTGAAATACAAACTACGCAGTTGTTTCCTTTTTCGCTTTGCATTCGCTACAAGTCACCGCCGAACGACTGTGCACCTTATTGCGCTGTCATAAAGACCACGAATCTTGTTCCTATGATTTAATAACGGTGATTTGCTTATTGCAGGGCGGGCAGAAAACATTTTCAGGGCTCCGTACCCAAAGGGTATAACGGGACCCTATTACTAAAACTCCGCCGTCTGTCTGTCCGTTTGTCACCAGGCTGTAACTCGTGAACCGTGATAGTTAGACAGTTGAAATTTTCACAGATGATGTATTTCTGTTGCCGATACTACAACAAATATTAAATAACAGAAAATATATTTAAATGGGGCTCCCATACAGCAGACATGATTTTTTCCTTTTTTATGGATATCGGTACGGAACCCTTCGTGCGCGCATCCAACTCACACTTGGCGGGTTTTTTTTTCAAATTGCCCCGCACTGCCACAAAAGGGGCAGGCGTGGAACTGAATTTTGTTTATCTTTATCTTTATGGGGGGCGACATTTGTTTTTACTGTTTGCATGCGTATGTGTTTGGTAATATAATACGGTCTGTGATAATAAATCCCCGGTTTAAGGGCAAGTCTGTCGGTTTCTATTCGCAATTCGCCTGTCATAAGCTACAATAGAATCGAATGCGTCTATACATTAAAATAAAGAAAATAAAATTTAAACTGTTGCTGCATCAACGCTTTCAACCTAATTTTTACGTTATTTTAACATTTAAAAATAAAATGGCTACATTAAATTTATGGAATAATAATTAATTTCATATGTTCAAAACTGTCAATTTAACGATATACCACAATTTTAAAAAATTAGTAATTATAAAGTAATTACTATACTCGTTAATAACATTGACAGTTCTTTTCTGTGATCTTATTAATATTTTCTAAAGTTGGTAAAAAGACAGACAAAAGCAGACATAAAAAAAGCTTTCCCTTAAGAGCGCAGTCGATTCCTAACCCCATTTTAAAGGGTTGCGAGAATTAAGATAAAATTACATTTTTTTTTCTGTCAACGTCTTAAAAATGTGGGTTCTAAGACTTCCGAGAACAGCGTTATGGATGCTGCGAACTTTGCCACCGTTGCTTAACACTTTAATGGTGTTTACGAATACATGTTTTTCAATGCGACCTTTTACGAGAGCCGGGTGGAATAAATTGACCACACGTGTTTAAATAAAAAAAAAAAAAAAGTTTTAGGAGACATTTTTACACAACGTTCTCTAGTCGAAAATCAACCCACGCTTGGAATACAAGCGTACATTTATCAGTTATCTAGTACCAATAGAACAATAATTCTAGATAACTGATGAACATACTTGAAGATACTTTTCTTTTGGAAGTAAATACAAATTAATATGTATAATATGTACGTATACAAACGTGTCTGGGACACTGGAGAAACACTGTTCATCACACGATAATTTTTCTATAGTGGGGATCGAACCCACACCCTCTGGGGCAAGAGGCAGCTTCATCACCTACTAGGCCAATCGTTAAGTTCGATTGCAGCAGCCACTTTAAGGTTTTAGCGACGAAACGAACAGTTTCCTCCAATGCCCAAAAAATCAGCTTTGTTATAACCATGCTACCAAAATAAACGATAAGTTCCTAGTCACGTCACACTTGTAGTCTGTTAGTTCCCCCTTCGTCTCGCATTAGCTTAGCGGATTAGGAGGGAATTTGAAATGAAAATTTTCTTCTG